TTTGTCACTATTGATTTAGTTCGATTTATATATTCAATCCCTCCTTTTAAAAGAATGCTATACTCAATCATTTTGTAAATATGTAGGATGAGAATGAGAAGGAAATTTTGGCGTATGTTGCAATGCGGGTAGGAAGTTTGGCTTTGCTTTTCAAGGAAGCAGTGGCAAATATCACTCCCTTTCCGGAAAATGATGAAGTCCTTTCCGACAAGGTTAGTGCGTTTTCTTCTTGATGATTGGTGAGTAGAATGCCGAACTGTTAGTCTTGCGTTGTTGCTCGTTATTTTCATTTGAAATAATTGCAACAGATTGTTGAAAATTGCAGATCCTTCTTGTATATTGGGAGGTTTGGATACTTGGTAAATTATTAATCTGTGTTATATTTCATCGTTTCTGAAGAAGTTGTCGGTCACTTGTTCCTTGCAGATAGATCAGCTTGCAAAGAAGATTCTTGAGGAGTTTTCTACCACAGTGAAGGATTACACAACAGTCAATGGAGTGGATAAGAAAAGAAACGAGTTGACTGCTCAAATTCAGGATACGCACGCTCGTTTGCTCAAGAAGAATACTGCGTTGATGGCCGCGTTCTGCTACGATCCTCTTCAGGAAGCCTACAGAGAACTCCGTATGCAGGTTAGGTTCCCCCCTGCATTCCTAACTGATCATACTTCTATGTCAATGTGCTTCTGGGACGCAAATCCAGTGGTTCTTTTTTGGCTACTTCGTAGCATAACTAGTAATGATTATTTTTCGCTCAATGCTGTAGGATTGCGAGATGACCTACAACAACATATTTAGGACCCGGGCATGGTGGTCTCGAAAATGTCTCTGGCCTGGACCTCGTAATACATTCGGGTTCAAGTATGCTGCTTTCCAAGCTGCACAAAAGCACCTTAATAAAGCACAATTTGAGCCTCGCAAGGCAGGTCAAGCTGTTGGAATGGTCCTTAGCCCTGCAACTCGGAACAAGGTGATACAGTCTTGGGTTGAGAATGACTTGGCACGTTTTTCCACAACAGTTCTTGTTAACTTCAGTGCGCTGAGTGCTAACGTTGTGATTCTTTTAATTACAATTTCATGGCTATTTGGAGGGTTGGGTTTGAGCCGAGGCAGCAATAATAGCCCGACCAGAGAGCCTCACAGCTCGTTTTTGAAGCCATCTCCTTTCAAACAGGATGGCGCTTTCTACTCAAGAGCCCCAAATCGTAATTACCGCTAGATGCAGAATATCGCTCGAGGCACCTGGGGTTAATACTGTGTATGGTACCATTTCATGCAGCTTTCTTCTTGCAGGCACCCAGCATTACTGATTACATTCATTAATGTACTTGTACAGCTCTTCATGATATTTTAGTCGTGCCCTGAGCTCCCGAGATGCGGGGTTGCTACTGAATATCTCGTCTCAAGTGTAGCATACATTGTAGGAAAGTAAAGAAATTCTAGTGTGCGATTGTCGTACAGGTTAGATCTATCCGAGTTTGGCGTAGTTGTCAGTAATACGTAAAGCCATGATGCCTCTTTACCAGGTGTGTTCCTCTCCAATTTAATATTTTCCTTTTCTCAAGCGGTGAATGGAAATCTGCAAAATTAATTCTTTATCAAGAAAATGGGGGAATAACTCCATGAAGAAACTGGGTATGATTAGGACAGACAAGATGAGAGGTAGGACATGCAAGCCGTGGCTCCTGATCATTAACAAGTGGGCATACTACTGTTTTCTTGTCCTTACTCACGCGTAACAAACCCTGAACCTCCAACCTTGAAGTCGAAGTTTACGAAGATAGTAATGCTACCAATAACGAGCCTGCTTGTAAAACTAGTTGCTGAATGTTCTACATGGATTCCTAATAAGAAAATTTGAGAAACTAAATCCCTTGATTAATTATTAGCCACATTTTTTGTACTTGCGTTAAAAGTATTGACGTATTCAAAAAATACGATATTGTTTTTCATTGCATGTCTCCAAGTTACACTGCTTTTGAAATATCTAAGATTCTCGTTTAACCTGTTTGAGTTTATCATAATTGCAAAAAAAATTACGTAGCTGGCATTCAGCGTGAACTTGACGTCGCCGAAGCAAAATTCCTAAATAGAAAGGTCCAGAAAGGAGGAAAGAACCATAATCGGGTCAACTGCGACCGTACATGCATTGATTTTCAATACACGACTACCTAAACTCCACCCCAACTGCTAACTACGTAGCTGCGAGTCACTGTGCAAAACATATTTAGTTTACAAAGGGTTTCCCCAAAGCTCTCGTTTTTTTCCCTTTGGCTTCATTAGAACACCTAGGATAATAACAGAGTAAAGATCTACCAAAGATCAGCACGTCCCAAAATTTAGAGCAGAATTAACGCTGTTGCTGTCGATAGTCTGGTCGACGAGGAGACAGAGGTTGAAACCCAGAGTGAGATGCTCGAGCATAAGCTCCATCAATGTCTACATACTGTGCTGTTGGCTGCATCCACAAACATATGAGAAGACTAAGAACCAACACTCATGTCCTACCAAGTATCAGCAAGAGAAGCTTTCTGCGTATTGTGAGCTTGTATGGAAAAGTATCAATCCACAAGTGCAAATAGGTAATTAGCCTGAATTTAGGTTTGAATAGCGATCCGTAAACTTATAACTACGTCACAGCTCACGGTTATTCAAGACTGAGAAGAGAACAATTACCTGCTGCATGTAATGCTGACCACCATAAGCAGGAGGCTGTGGACCACCAGCCATGCCACTGTTTAAAAACCCAAATATATATCAGTGCACCATCTCGACAAAAACAATGAAATAAATTGCATCCACAGTAACCCCAAGTTACCAAAGCATAGGAGCAAATAGTGATAATATGTTTGCCCACACTGTTTGCCATATATGTACAAATACTAAAGATTCCAGTGACGAGCAAGGAGTATCCAAACATCCCTACAAGGGCAAATGCGCCGTGGTGTACATGCTGCCCTACTACATGTTAATTGTATCAGTTTCACTAGGGCGAACAATGTCGATGTCTAGAAATAAAATTCATCCTTCAATTCTCGTCAAACAATCTGCCAAACTGTATAAATTTAGTGTATGCATCTCCGAAGTACTTACCCAAACTGCTGTCCTCGACCACCAATTGGTGGACCTCGACCACCTCCATATGGACCAGCAGCATACGCACCTCCAGTGGGGCCACCATAAGGACCTCCCCTTCCGCCCTGGTGCCCCAAGTTAGGAGCTGTATATGCACTCGGCTGCGCAGGCCCTCCATAGACCCCTCCTGGTCCACCACGATTAGGTCCTCCATATCCAACGTTTTGATTGGGCCCTCCATGAGGAGGACGCCCTCCTCCAGGAACTCGGCCTTGATTATTACCCCCTTGAGCCCTGTCAAGTACAGCTGTTCAGAAGTGATCCACGAAAAGATAATACAAATACAGAATGAAGGTTCATGAAATTAAACTAGCATATCAGGACGGATGAATGTCACATTTGTGTTCACAATCAAATTACCATTTCCCCACTCCAAAACCGACGTCAGTTTGTGGAAGAAATGGATAGAAGTGGAACACTTGTGATCGATTGTACCTATTATAATTGCTGTGCTGATTGGGCATGCCAATTGCATGACTTGGAGGCCCCAAGTTGTGACCAGGTTGATGAGGACCAGGACGTAGAGGTTGTTGCTGAATCGGTGGCAGGCGTGTGTGAGGAGCTGGGTGATGTAAGACCTTCATGCGCTTTGCCTGCTCCTCTTGTTGTTGCCGCTGTTGCTGCCTTTTCTTCTTGGTCTGATATTCATGAGAAGCTTCATATTTCGGCAAACTGATACAATCACAGAAAAAGTCTTAATACATGTAGAAATCAATAAAGTTGACACCTACATCACATTAAGGCACTAGAATTAGTAACACATCTTGAACGGAACTACAATTCCGCAGTCAAGATGGCGAGCCTAGGATTAAATTTTCTATAAGGTCTAAGCTATCCGCATAAACACAAGGGTCAACAACTTCTGAGCATGAAAAAATATTCTAATGTCTAGACCCATGTCACAGTCACCTGCTTGGTTGGCATGGAAAAGGTTCAACCCAGAAGTATTCAGCATCCAACGCATCTTTAGCAGAAATTCGCTGCACAAAAAGTAATAATAATAAGTAATGATGCAGTTGAAAATAATGATACACAATTTTATATAGGTGACTGCAAACAATGAATATATATATATATATATATATATATGTTATTTTATTTTTATTTTTCATGACAACTAGTTGGAACTTAAACATTTGCTATCACCTGTGAAAAAGTGGATTATAAACCCATATGGCGCAAAAACAAACACTACGGTAACAAATTTGACTACAAAATGTTTGAACTAAAAGTTAAACAAGTAATGAGGCGTATCGCATGAACGTACTTACATGATCAGGATCCAATGTCAACATCCGCTCCAAGAGCTCAAGAGCATGTCTGTCAAAACTGCACGACAAATCAGAAAACTAATCAAAAGATGGCCACAGCGACACAAAACAAAAGACCACATGACTTCCCCTGATCAGGAAGCAGAAAACAACATATTAATATTTCAAGAAAAAATGTTATTGCACTCGCTGACCAAATGAATAGTACACTACGGACTCCACAAACCTACAGAAACTCGAAACGAAATGAAGGAAAACAGGGTAGTGCTCACTGCTTGAACACATCCTTCACACGACGTTTCATTAGTCTCTCAGGCTTGAATTGATTGTAGTAAGGCAACTGACTGACACGAGGCCAGTTGGTCTCATCAGGAGACCCACAAAGTTCGCAGATTTTTTGGAACTGTTCGCTCTGCAGCCAGCAAATGCATCGCATTAGAGACGAACAGAGAACCATTAGTTTCAACAATGAAAAAGCCCGAGGATCAGAACAAAGGATACTTAGTCAATTACCTATATAATAGAATAAATAAGTGCATGGAAAGTTGTCAAACTCACGAGACAATGAAAAAAGTAATGAGATTCAAGAAGTAACACTCAACCAGACTGTAACCAACAGGAAATAGCGTGATCAAAGCAAGAGCTCACAAATACAATCAGAAAAGGCAGCTACACACTAACGAGACAATGAAAAAAGTAATGAGATTCCACGGGGTAATAGTGAAACTAAGTTCCAGAATAAAGCGATACAGGCAAACGATCCAATGTTACATGCGTCATTTCATTCGACTTAACACCAGCGACAAGCCTCTTACAAACTAATTACATGAAAAGTAAAAACTATGACAAGGACATCTGATCATTCCACATCTTATAAAGTGTATGAATGTATTAACCCTCTACGTAGGTCAAATTTTGAGAATCCAGAACTAAACACATATATCGAGGAATCCAGATGCGACCATACAGCCCATGACGTTGAAATAGGATAACTTTACTCAGACCCAGAGCATCATCAGCGATCCACGTAAGCACACCGAAGTTCTGCGTAACTGAAGCAAAACAACGAGAAGGCTCCTTAATCACACCTCGTTCCTTCCGGGAAGGATGGGTTTTCCGTTAAGAAGCTCGGCAAAAATGCATCCCACTGACCACATGTCCACCGCTGGAGTGTACTTTGTGGAGCCCAACAACAGCTCAGGGGGCCTGAAACAGGAAGAAGTACTAGAAAGTCAACTGACTTGCTAGTAGTAGTCTGCTACACGCGGTAGCGCAATCTTCGCCAATGGACCGTCAGGAAATTAAATTTCTACACTCCAAACGAAGATACCTATAACCCTGCATGTTCCAGAAGTTCAATAAAAGAAGGACGTTGACGCCTTACCTATACCAAAGAGTAATGACCCGATTAGTTAATGGTTGACCATTCTGATCGTTGGAGAAAGACCTTGCAAGCCCGAAGTCGGCAAGCTTCAAAATGCCATTGTTGTCGATAAGAAGATTTGAACCTGGACAAGTTATCTCAGACGATTCACATGTCTCAGGGTACAGTAGTGGATCCCAACTCAATGTCAACAAAGAATGACAATTTATTATAAACCAGCAGAGCACATGTTTCAACTAAGAAGCTATCTGAGACAGTACCTTTGATATCCCTGTGAAGCACTTGGTTCACATGGCAGTAATGTAGACCTGTGAGAAGCTGCTTCATATAACACTGCATTATAGAAGACCATATTAAACCTCAAGATTGAGTCGAAAAAAATGATAAGGCAAAAGACAGAACAGAGAGAGAGAGAGCGGGAAGAAGGAAAAATGAAGAAAAGAGAAATACATCACCAGGAAGTAAGCAATTCATCTACACGAAGTACCTTGATTTGGGGAATAGAGAAGCGCATTCCAGGTCGATCTGCAAGACCAGTCAGATCATGGTCCATGTACTCGAACACCATGTAAATAGAACCTTTGAACTTACTCGCATCGCCTGGCTTGATGTTGTCCTCTTTCTCGGGTCCTGTTCACAAAAGAAGCCAACTGTTGCACAAAGAGAACATTTCACGCGCCACTTTCGACGCACAATTTCCCAGTTGACACCAGTTATACGTAATAATTGCAGCGTTCACGCCCAGAAGCAAGTGAGCACTGCAGGAAGTGCGTTCAGAGAAAAAAAACGATGGCTATTGACATGACTTTGGTGTAAACCTACACTACAACCATGACGTTAAATCATCATTGGCTACCTTTAGAGGTCACAATCTCCTTCAATTTAATGACATTCGCATGTTGCAACTTCTTCAGAATCTTGATTTCTCGAATGGCAGTGATTGGAAACTGCAAATGAAAACATAATTGAATCATTAAAATGCTTTCGAAGCTGCAACTACAAGAATTAAATGCTTAATTGCATGAAATGTAGGCTGCAAATAGCCAAGATAGAACCGAGCGCATCTTACACCATAAAATTTTGTAGCTACCCATTGTCCTCACTAACGCTATCATGATAAATTTCAAACAATGCTTCTAATCCTTCGACCGAAAGATTTCAGCGTCGCCACTCGTTGAGTAATAGCAATAGGATTATGAGTATCTTCAGAGCTCAGAAACCAATACAAAACCTCCACTACCTCCTTCTACAACCTTAAGTACGATAGAAATCGTCATACCCCTTCTTTCTCATTGTCCATACGAACTTTCTTCAGCGCAACAACTTCACCTGTCGATTTATCCTTTGCCATGTACACTTGCCTGCAAAAAGAAGTTTCCAGCTCAGTTTGCTGCAAATCATGCTCAACCGTTCAAGTCCAAACAACTCACCTTCTAAATACAAAGGAAAAACTTCCAAATCGTTCAATAAACAACAAACTGCGACAAACGTAAGACATCTACACGCTTCAAATCATGCACGAGATATCGCCATGAGTTTAACGTAATGCAGAAAAGAACTGGGCCAACCATTAACGTACTGACATTGTCTTGACAACACAAAAAAAATCTTCAAATCCCAACAAACTTTCTAAACACTTACGATTCCACTAATAACATCGACAGAAATGCAGAGCACAAGCTCGCCTTCTGGAAGTCCAATTTTAAAAATAAATAAACGAGTAAACCCACCAAATCGCCCCATCCGATCAAATTGAAAGCTGCAGGATGCAACTCTGTGGGACAGACTAAGCACAAACGATGACCTAATCCTTCCATCGGAAAACAAAACACCGAGGACAAGCAGCAATAATGGACTCAATAGTAAGAAGTGATCAACACCCGGGAACGAGCCGGGTCACCATACCCGTAAGTCCCCTCTCCAATCTGCTCAATCTTCTCATACACATCAACGCTCCGCGACCCCCATGTCGGAGTCTCGTCCAAATTCAGCTGCCCAGGCAAGGCGACCGCCATCATCGACTCTCACGGCAGAGTCACGGCCCTCGCGAGTACACCTCCGGCCCTCCCCTCCCTTAGCAAGCCTAGAACTCGTCACCGCATCGCGAACCCTATCGCTCAGAGCTCCGGTAAGCTCCTCTCGCTCGCAATGCTCGCGAAACCCTACAAAAACCTTGAAAATCCGCGACAAACGACACTAATCCTCGGTTCACCTGTGCCTACATAATCCGCGCGAATGTTGGGAAACGAAGCGAGAAATGGAAAGCATACAGCAACAAAACAAAATACGAGAATGGACATGAAATCATCGAGAGCTATGGTGTTAAATTTGGCTTCACCTCCCCTTCCCTCTCTCCCTCCCCTTCTCTCCCTTCTCTCCCTTTCCTTTCCTTCCCATCGAGGCGGCACCTTCACGAGGCGGGGCGAGCCGCTCCCCCTCGAACCCTTGGATGGACGAATTAGAAGACGAATTGATGAATAGATGAATGGTGGGTGGATGGATGGAATATAAATTGGAATATGGATTGATGGGTGGAATATGGATAGATGAAATGTGATGGATGGGTGAAATGTGGATGGATGAAAGGAGATGGATGGGTGGAATGTGGATGGATGAAATAAGATGGATGGGTGGAATGTGGATGGATGAAATGAGATGGATGGGTGGAATGTAGATGGATGGGTGGAATGTAGATGGATGAAATAAGATGGATGGGTGGAATGTGGATGGATGAAATGTGTATGGATGGGTAGAATGTAGATGGATGAAATGAGATGGATGGGTGGAATGTAGATGGATGAAATAAGATGGATGGGTGGAATGTGGATGGATGAAATGTGTATGGATGGGTAGAATGTAGATAGATGGGTGGAATGTGGATGGATGAAATGTGTATGGATGGGTAGAATGTAGATGGATGAAATGAGATGGATGGGTGGAATATAGATGGATGAAATATATATGGATGGGTGGTGGATGAAATATGTATGGATGGGTGGTGGATGAAATATGTATGGATGGGTGTTTACGTCGCCCCTCCTATCTTCCTGTGTTGATGCAAGCGGGTGTGTGTATGTATGTGTGATGTGGACGGATGGAGCATGTTGTGCTTCCTGTTAGGTTACGAGAATTGAGTATATGGAGTTGAGTTACGAGAATTGAGCATATTGAGTTGGGTTACGAGAATTGAGCATATTGAGTTGAGTTATGAGAATTGAGCATATGGAGTTGGATTACAAGAATTGAGCATATGGAGTTGGATTACGAGAATTGAGCATATGGAGTTGGATTACGAGAATTGAGCATATGGAGTTGGGTTATCTGTTGGAGTGCTGGACGGAAGGATGTTTTGAGAGTGGTTCCATGACCCTCCTTAATGTCCACAACACTTCTACAAATAATACATTTCAATGTATCTTGATTAATTTTTGAAAACTAATACTACACTAGTGTAGAGGATCTTTGTTTTGTTTTGGGAGTATGATAAATAGTGATATAATCCAAATATTATGAAAGTCATTGAGGTATAATAAAGTGTAATATAATCTAAATATATGCATGGATGAATAATTGGATGGATGAAAATAAACATAGACAAAGATCTCTTGTTTCATAAAATATTAACAAATGGAGGATAAGAGAACCACTCATTTAGCCACTTGACCTCGTCAAAATTGGCAGAGTTCTTACAAAAACATTGTTGCATGTTATTGTTTATAATCTTGATTCATATATATATATATATATATATATATATGATTGTATAGTAATAAATACCAATATTGGAGCCTTTGCTTTGGAAAAAATATTTTAAAGTAAGTTACTAATGTTTGAAAATGTTAAGTACATATATAATCAACAATACAAGTAATATAACCAAGAATCATATCAAAATAAATAAACAAAGATATATATATATATATATATATATATATATATATATGTGTGTGTGTGTGTATTTTTATTTCATATATATATATATATATATATATACTAAAAACTCATAATAAAAAAGAAATAAAAAATCATATATAAATATAATAAAACATGTGGCTTTTTTATATCTTTCACTAATATTCATTGCTTAGCTATTAATAATCTTTAGAAAGGAGATTTTTTATAGATAGTAAAGTTATAGCATAACTTTTTGTATAATTATATAAAAAATAAATCAATGAAAAAATTTATAAACTAAGTAGGAGACGAAGGAGGGATGAGCAAAAAGAGGGATTGAGAATAGATGATTGTTTGTGGACTGATGCAAATATGACAGAGGGAGAGAAGGAGAGAATAGTAAAAGCCGGGTAGAAGGAGGTTATTAGAATAATCTACATACATCTGAAGGCATTCATGTGATGTGGCATTAATAGAGTCCACAAATTTCATATATTTTTCTATTTCTAAACAGATAGAAGAGGATATTACAATGATAATGTGGTTTCTTGGTATTGTTTATTTAATCACATCCACTCACAATCCTCCAATTCCATAACATTATTTAAAATTTACAAAATTTTATGATTTCACATAATTTATACAATTTGAAGGTGTTGCATTACCTTATATTTATATAATATTATATTTTAAACTCTTATTTTAAAAAAATATTAAAATTGATGTAACACAAATAGTAATAATTGTTTTATATTCTTTTTGATTTTATCAAGATTTGATTATATATATATATATATATATATATATATATATATATAGATATATAATATATAATATAGATATATAATATATAGATATATATATATATATATATATATATATATATTAGCATCATTGATAATATCAACAAGTTTTTTAAGCAAAGTTGCATCATTAAGAATTATATGTCAATACAAATACAAAATTATAGCAAATTTTATAAATTTGTGCCAATAAAACTTGCTATTGTAATTCGTAGTGGCATCATAGAAAAAATAGGATATTAAGCAATACTTAAAAAAGTACTAGATACTTAAAAAGTCATCAAAGGAAATTTGAGCTCTCTCTTTGTTTTGATGATTGGCACTCTATGCAATAGTACGTTAAGTGTCATTAGTTTCACTATGGCCTTTAGATTGTACACATGACTATAGATCACTTTTTCTAAGTAATAAAAGAGTTATTGATTACATTGACATTGATATAAACTCAATTTGATTGAATATTTATGAAGTATCTTATACTAATTTAGTGACAACATATAGCTTCTTGAATGCATCAATAAGCCACTTTGATAGTTTTTACCATTCAATGATGCATTTTTGAGCATCACAACTTGATGGCAAATATTTTAGCAACCATACTAAGAACTTCACTTGATTTGTGAGAGTATACTCTACAAATATTAGACAAGGCTATTTATTTAGAAGGAAGGCTTAAAAAACTATTGCTATTAAGCAATATGGCTCTAAAAGTGGATATTACTACAAGAAAAGGTAATAAAAAAACTACCTTTTGACCTTGTAGAAACATCAAAAGAAAACTCAAAAGAAGAAGGATTTTCTACCAAGGATATTCTAAAATAGATGAAGCACTAAGTTTTAGCCATGAACGCAAGAAATGTGGAAATAGATATAAGAATCTAAGACCTTGTCATAAGATTACAATTTCAAATTATTTTTGTGCTAAAAGAAATTTCTACAGCCATAGTATAAAAATTCTTGGCATGCTTGACCACAACTAAAAACCACATGTCAATGATGACATTAGTAACATCAATAGTCACCACACTACTTGCAATAGAAATAACAATATGAATAAGTTATAAAGAATTATTTTTTTTCTTATTTTTTGTATAAGCAACAACTTAAAATAACACATGTTCAGTTTCAAAAATGTTACTACAATCAATCAAGTTATTACTCCAATAAAATTCAAAAATCTTTGTTATGACTATAGAGGGTATTACAATTAATTAAGCATATGATTTTGAGGTCTAAAATCCAATTGCATCTTAAGAAGATAGAGAAAAGAGATTCTTCAAAAAAAATTGCACTTTCAAGAGCAACAAAGATGTATTGCAAGCCTTAGACAACATTAGATAAAATCCAAATTAACTAATAGATGTCATTTATAATCAATTAAAAAAATATATTTAACAAATTAGAAATACCAATAGATGATTTGATAGTTTGTAATTTGTTCTAAGATGGATTACATACTTTTTTTTTTTAACAAAGATTGATTTATATGCAAGTTATCACATTACGTAAAATATTAAATTTGGTTATACAAATTCTCAAAGAACTAGACAATGTTATTAAACATAATATGCAACTAACAAGACCATTTCTTCAATTTTTAATGTATAACATTTGTAATTGTTATCATTATATGCTTAGTAGATGGAATCTTCAAAATTCAAGTAACTGCTTGTTAGAAAGGGTACAAAATAAAGAAGAGGTGTTACATCTATATGAAATCCATTGTGATGCATTTCAATTAAATCAATAGGTGTGGAAGAAGAATAATAATTTTTGGAACTATAGATCTATACAACACTATTGTAAGATATTTTTTATACATAAATTACAATAGATATAAATTTTGGTAAAAATTGATGTTATAATTTTTGAAATAAATGATGTAACCACAATTATTTTAACAATTTTTGAAGCCATCACCTATTTACAAAAAAATTGAGACTCATGATCTAAGTAACATCTTGGTCAATAGAGATTCTAAAGTAAATATCATAGCTAATCAAATTTTTTATTATTTCTAGCTTTCAAAAGTAAAAGCAACATCCTTCATATTACATGTGGCCAATGATACACTGATAACTTCCATAAGCATTTTTAATAACATATCAATTTCTACATAGATTGTTTTAACTTTGGCTATCTTTGCAATCATTGAAATGTCATTCAATAATTATTTTTTTATCATTTTAGGAAGACCTTAGTTAAACAATATGAGTGCTATCTATGAATGGAGTAAGAATTATTTAATATTAAGCAAGGAAAATAGATACATAATAATTTCAATAGATAGTTATATTACTTGAGACAAAACAAAGAAAATTAAGTGTTAAAATATGATAAAATATGCAAAAGGCCTTATAATTAATTAAGAGATATTTTTACTCTACATTAATAAAAATCTAATTCTCCTAATTGAAATTTATTCAGCCGCCTTAGTTTCCAAAATCAAAGACTGCCTTAACATTCTATCACATTTTTATTTGGAAATATTATTCATACTAGTATTCAATGAGGCATTAGCTTAAGTTATTTTGCAAGATACACTAGCCATAAGATGATTATATAAAGTCACTAAGTCCATCCAATTTATAAATCTAAGAACTATGAACAATACCAAAAATTTGAAGATTAATGCAAATGAATTTGAACAATTAAAAATACAAAAGTCTTCTTATTTAAAGAA